TAGCTGCCTAATTTGGTACCATTAATTTTGGCAATCTCACATAAATTTACAAAATCAGGGAGCTATCTACTAAACAACTGAAAGACCAAAATTAACAAAAAAAATACCCTTTTCTTAATTTTGCTCTTTCAGTTGTTTAGTAGGTAAAATCCTAGTTTGCTATCCAAAATAATCCAATAATCCAAAAAATAATTTGTTTCTGAATTCACTCATTTTCGATTTGTTTCAGTTTGTAAAATAAGTGAAAATTTGTATGCATCCATATTCAGACAAACTTTGATTCAGAACAAAACTAATTGCACATGTCCTGTTGCTTCCTGGTTCGTTTTGCCCTGAAGCTGAAATTAAGATGTCGTGATTTATTTAACAAAAATAAAGACAAAACAGAGAGGTAATGTGTGAAAAACTTAGTACACCCTTACTACATCAATGGGCATTAAGAGGTTGAGTAGCAGACAGGTACTGCCAATCAAATGTCCTTAATTTAATTGATCATCAGTAAGTGTGACAATCTCTATAAAAGCTGAAGTATTAGCAGTTTGCTGGTCTGGAGCATTCAGGTGTGTGTTAACACAATGAGAAGGAGAAAAGACATCAGCAATAACCTTAGAGACGCAAGTGTTGCATCAAACTGGGAAAGGTTATAAGGCAATTTCCAAACAATTTGAAGTCCATCATTCTACAGTGAGAAAGATTATTCAGCAGTGGAACATCTTCCCAGGAGTTGGCTTCACAGCAAATTCACCCTAAGGTCAGATCATGCAATGCTCAGAGAAATTGCAAAAAAGCAAAGAGTTATGCCTCAGACTCTACAGGCCTCAGTTAGCATGTTAAATGTTATAGTTAAAGCAATTAGAAAAAGACCAAACAAGTATGATGTATTTGCAATGGGTGCCAGGAGAAAGACATTTCTCTTTAAAAAGAACATGGCAGCACAGCTCATGTTTGCAAAGTTGCATCTGAACACAAAAATGTCCTTTGGACAGACAAAACCAAAGTTGAGATGTTTGGTGTTTAATGCACAGCACCATGTTTGGCGAATACCAAACACAACCTATAAAGAAAAACACCTCATACAAAGTGTCAAGCACAGTGGTGGAGGCGTGATGATTTGGGTTTGTTTTGCAGCCATTGGACCTGGAAATCTTGCAGTCATTGAGTCAACTATGAACTCCTCAGTACACCAAAGTATTCTAGAGTCAAATGTGAGGCAATCTGTCTGATAGATGAAGCTTGGCCGAAATTGGGTCATGCAAAAGGAGAATGATCCCAAGCACACAAGCAAATCTACAACAGAATGGATTAAAAAGAAAAGATTGTTTGGCTGTGTATGTGTGTGTATGAGTTTGGTTATTGTTTGCATGGTGTATGTGTGGTTGGACTGTTGTTGGCATTGTTGATGCACTTCCTTTCTTTTTGGTTCCCCACTTCCTGTTCCTGCCTGTTGGCAGTTGGTGGAATATTCTAGGGGTTTGAAATGGTGGCTGCAGAAACCTTGTGTAAAAAGGCAGCAATATGAGGAACCTGTTGTATATGTATTGAAAACGTAAGTACAAGTGGCGGATCCAGAGCCTGATCTCGGGAGGGGCACTTGTAGATTATTTCAAGAAATAATCCTGGCAAAATATCCACTACAGCTCAGTGTAGTAGTTATGGCACCAGTAGTGCTAGGATCCCATCCCAGAGTAAGTAGTCAAACCGTTTAAGAACAGTTTGACAACTTACCTGGGGTCTGCTGGGATATAAGGCATAGGAGCAGTGGTATGTGTTAGGGGTCAAGTGTGTGTGAAAGGTGCAGTGTGTGTGTGTGTGAGCGGTGAAGTGTGTGTGCGAGTGTGTGAGGGCGGCAGTGTAGGTCAGGGATGCAGTGTGTGTGTTAGGGGCAGTGTATGTGTGGGGCAGTGTGTGTCTGAGAGAGCTGCAATGTGTGTGTGTGTGTGTGAGCGGTGCAGTGTGTATGTGAGGGTGGCAGTGTGTGTGAGAGTTGCAGTGTGTGTGTGTTTGGGGGCAGTGTGTGTATGGGGGCAGTGCTTGTGGGGCAGTGTGTGTAGTGTGTATATGGGGGGCAGTGTGTAGTGTGTGTATGGGGCAGTGTTTGTGGGGCAGTGTGTGTAGTATATGGGCAGTGTTTGTGGGGCAGTGTGTGTAGTGTGTGTATGGGGCAGTGTGTGTATGTGTGGGGGGCAGTGTTTGTGGGGCAGTGTGTGTAGTGTGTGTATAGGGGCAGTGTTTGTGGGGCAGTGTGTTTTAGTGTGTATGTATGGGGGCAGTGTTTATGGGGCAGTGTGTGTAGTGTATGTATGGGGGGGCAGTGTTTGTGGGGCAGTGTGTGTATTGTGTATATGGGGGCAGTGTTTGTATGGGAGGAAAGGAGGGTAGGGAGGCTTTTTTTTTAAATTTAATTAAAATAAATATATTGATGTCCCCCCTCCCTTCTTACCCTTCCCCCCTCCCTTCTTAGGAGGGACATTCTGGATCCCTGGTAGTCCGTGGGCAATCCTGGTGGACCAGTAGGGAGATTGAACTCTAGCCCGCGCTCCAGGGCTAGAGTTCACTCCCGCGAGATTTGGAGCGTTGCCGTGGTAACCGCGGCAATGCTCTGTGCTTGCGAGAGGAGGACCCGGAGGAGCTGCAGGTAAGAGCTCCCGGGTCCTCTTTCACTCCCTCTCCCTCCCCTGCCGGCTGTCAGCTATGTGCCTGCGGACCGGGGAAGGAGATCTCTGATCTCCCCTCCGTTCCTTGAAGGCACATTGCAGGGCTGGCACTTGGACAATGCCAGCCCTGCATTAGCCAGCAGGGGAGAATCTCGGGGGGGGGAGGCAATTGCCCTATTGCCCCCCTGGATCCGCCACTGGTGAGCACTTGGTCATAAAGAAGTAATTGACCTCTTTGAACAAGATATCAGGAACATCAATGCATTTTATGAAACATTACAGTGGCGACGAGGCTGTAGAACCCAAACTGACATGGCAGGCATTGGCACTTTAAAAAACATTGATCCTGACACTAATTTATGGGCTTCTTGGGTTGAAAGACTTATTTCATAGCTAATGTTATTCCTGATCCAAACAGGTTAAGGTGAGTACTTGGTTATACAGAAATAATTGACTTCTTTGTACAAGACGTCAGGAAAATTGATGGTTTTTATGAAACATCACAGAATCAAGATGTTGCAATGGCCCATTCAAAGTCAAGACCTCAACCTGATTTAAATGCCGTGGTGGGACTTTAAGAGAGGTGTGCATAAACAAATGTCAGCAAACCTCAATGATCTGATGCACGGTTGTAAAGAACAGTAGGCAAAACATCCTCTGACAGACTGATTAAGTCATAAAAACTATTATTTCAAGTTATTACTGCTAAAGGTGGTTATATAAGCTAAGGTGTACTTCATTGTTTATACAAGGCTTCTCCATTGTGGCTTTATTTTTGTTAAATAAACCAGGACACGGTGAAGTATGTCATGTGTTGTTTATCTTAGCATGTATTTACCTAATTATAAGACTTGCTAAGGAACCTATGTTTATTATATCCTGATAGGTAAATCATATAATTTAAAGAGGAAGTACTTCCTTTTTCCTATGACTGCATGTTAAAGATTTAGCAAATTTTATCACAATCCAGTTCAGTCCAGGCACAGCCAGAGCATAGACTGCTGTTATCAGTGTACTGCAAAATACACACAAAATTATATTTTGATATATAATGTATATATTTTGTTGCACACTAATTGCCCCATTTTCATGCACTTTTTTTTTGTTTCCTAATTGAAATTCCGCTGAACCAAACATTTGGCCTAAATGTGAGTGTCCTGAAAAATTTTCTATTTTCAGAAAAATAATTTGGCTGAGTCACATTTTCTAGCTGTGCACAAGTCTAAATAATATATATATATGTTTGTTGATCCTGAGGAAAGCCCCGAACATGGGCTGAAACTTCGATTTTATGGAATAGATCCCAATAAAGACAACGTTTTTTACACCAAAAGACTGTGAGAGCAAGCCCTTTTTTTATTATTGTATTATTTTTGGCTGTGGCACCTGTTACAGAAATTTCTGGGTTAGTCTGAGTGCAAGGACCTTGGTGTCTTTTTATATATTTATAATTTATTTATTTTATTTATTAATTATTTTTTTAATTATTTTTTTATTTTATTTTTCAGAACTCCCAAACACATATTTGTTAACTATAAGGGATAAGTAAACATATTATGCTGGTAATTGACAGTTTAATTGTAACTAGAAAAGCTACAATTTCTGAGGAAATTGTGTGAAGTGTTCTTGCCTCCCCCAGTAGTCTACAAACACACACACTGGAGTGGGGGGAGTAATGGGTGGAGTGGCTTGAGTAACTGTTGTGTGGTTGGAGTGGCTGGAGTAACTGTGGAAAGGTTGGAGTCTGGTTCACTCACTCTACAGTAAGGGCAGAGAAGAGCTTTTATATCTTTCAAATTCCTCAAACATTCCACCAACTGCCAACAGGAACTAATAGATTTCAAATATGGCAGAGAAGAGCAATTAAAAACAAACTGCTCCAAATTGCTCACTTCACTGGTGGTTGCCATCGTCAAACGGTCGTATTTTAAAAACTATAAATCCTACAGAGAAGATCTTTAAATTGTAAGAATCACAAGTCCCAGACCTACATTTTGATGCGTAGTATGTCTCTTAAATATTAAAAATGAAGGCACAGTCGCAGTTTAGATATTGCCCTTTAGATATTGCGTGAGTTGCAAACAAATGGTCATATTGTGAAAACTATCAGGACTATGGCTTAGTTGTGGACATGTTTAATGACAGCAGGGATAACTGAATGTTTTGATAAAAGATTTGTCTAGGTGGGGTTGAAAATAAGGGAGTGGTGGCAGTTTAGAAATCATGTCCTGATTTTTCAGCTCACACTGTCTATGACATCACTTCCTCTTTCTTTGCTGTTCCAGCCTGGCTCAGGTCAGAGTATATTGCCTCTCCTGATTACTTTTCATTCTTCAAACGGTCGTATTTTAAAAACTATACATCCTACAGAGAAGAGATTTATATTGTGATATAATATAAAGCTCTTCGCTGTAGGATGTATAGTTTTTAAAATACGACCGTTTGAAGATGGCAACCGCCAAAATACTCTGACCTGTGCCAGGCTGGAGCAGCAAGTGATGTCATAGACAGGGTGAAATGGAAAAATCAATTAAAGTATTGATTATTTCTTTGTGTATCTGCCCCTGGCCAAATCAATGAAACAATGCGTGCACGCTCCCTGAAGTAATTCACACCAGACACAGGTTTTAGGTTGTTGAATAACTTGAGGAAAGTTTATTCAGAGGGGACGGCAGGTCCCTTTTAAAGCAAAATTACATCATAAGCATTGTCAGCGATAACATGGAATAATACATCAATAATTGGTTAAGTGTTAAGTGTTTTATTCAAAGCACGTCCTACAGGGTGTGCCTTCTTATGTCATTACTGTCGTCATGGAGTTCTCCCCCAGGATTCCAGCGCCATCTTGAAAATTAGAGTGTTTGGTCGATGGGTGGGGTACTCCTGAGTGACATCTAGTGGTCAGTTTAGTAATTTATTGAATAATATTAAGTATAACTAAATGAAGTAAATAGACATTTTACTAGCTAAAAATATGTCAATATTTCATGTCACCAGGTCCATGAGGGTCTCCCACGGTTTCCTGGCGCCATCTTGCTGCACGAGGTAGTTAGTCGGTGTTTAAAGGGGCAGGGGGAGGAAGGGGTTAGAAGCTTCTAGCAGCCATCTTGATTAGAGCACGTGTGTATAGCTTTATATATAATATATCGTGGAATGAGTAAATAGACATTTTCACTAACTAGGAAATATGTGCAGACCTTATTTCCACAACACAGGGCCTTTTTAAAACCTGCTAATGTTTTTATAAATGTATTTTTTAATGTAACTGTGAAGCAATCGTCATTTTTGTGGTGAAATTGGTCCCATAGGAATGAATGGCAAAATGTTTAAAACTAGAGTGGGAGCTGACAAAAGCTGAAAAATCAGGACACAATTTCTAAACTGCCACCACTCCCTCATTTTCAAGCCCACCTACACAAACCTTACATCAAAACATTCAGCTATCCCTGCTGCCACTAAAAATGTCCACAGCTAAGCCATAGTCCTGATAGTTTTCACAATATGACCATTTGTTTGCAACTCACGCCATCCATTGACATTCATTGTAACTCCACTTTAGCCACCTAAAATTTTAAGCGCAATATCTAAACTGCGACTGTGCCTTCATTTTTAATATTTTCAGAAACTATGAACTATGCATCAAAATGTAGGTCTGGTTCTTCTGATTCTCATAATATAAAGCTCTTCGCTATAGGATTTATAGTTTTTAAAATACGACCGTTTGAAGAATGAAAAGTAATCAGGAGAGGCAAAATACTCTGACCTTAGCCAGGCTGGAACAGCAAAGAAAGAGGAAGTGATGTCATAGACAGTGTGAGCTGAAAAATCAGGACATGATTTCTAAACTGCCACCACGCCCTCATTTTCAAACCCACCTAGACAAATCTTATTTCAAAACATTCAGCTATCCCTGCTGCCACTAAACATGTCCACGGCTAAGCCATAGTCCTGATAGTTTTCACAATATGACCATTTGTTTGCCACTCACGCCGTCCATTGACATTCATTGAAACTCCACTCTAGCCACCTAAAACTTTAAGGGCAATATCTAAACTGTGACTGTGCCTTAATTTTTTATATTTTCAGAGACTATGAACAATGCATCAAAATGTAGGTCTGTGGAACGATTCGCCGAATGGTTCACAGAATATCGCCTTCATTTTTAATATTTCAGAGACATACTATGCATCAAAATGTAGATCTGGGTCTTGCGATTCTTCGCTGTAGGATTTATACTTTTTAAAATATGACTGTTTTAAGAATGAAAAGTAATCAGGAGAGGCAAAATACTCTGACCTGTGCCAGGCTGGAACAGCAAAGAAAGAGGAAGTGATGTCATAGACAGTGTGAGCTGAAAAATCAGGACATCATTTCTAAACTGCCACCACGCCCTAATTTTCAACCCCACCTACACAAATCTTATATCAAAACATTCCGTTTGACGATGGCAACCGCCAGTGAAGTGAGCAATTTGGAGCAGTTTGTTTTTAACCGCTCTTCTCTACCCTATTTGAAATCTATTAGTTCCTGTTGGCAGTTGGTGGAATGTTTGAGGGATTTAAAAAATTTGAAAGATCTTCTCTGCCCTTGCTGTAGAGTGAGTGAACCACACTGTGGCGAAACCAACCTCGCCACTGGGCATTGGAGAAGCCTGTTTTCCTGCAGATGGCCCCCCACCAGCGCAGATGGGACCGTGGCCTCTGCGCCCAAGCTACAGGGAGTACGGACAGTCGGTACTGCTCCCCAGCGGCAGAGTATTCTACCAGGAGGGGAGAGTCTCATTCCCCCTCCCCAGTGGCAGCATAGCCGACCAAGGGGAGATGATAAGCCCCACACTGGTGCAGAGGGGGCCGTGGTCTCTGTGCCCAAACCACAGGGTGTAGGGACAGTCGGTCCTGACCCCCTGCAGCAGGGCTGTTTATCCAAAGGGGAGACAGCCTGTCTTCCCCTCCAGCAGCAGCCCCAGGTCCGGAGTGACTAGCCTTCTACGCCTTTCCCTCACCTGGGCTTCAACCAGGCTACTCCCGTGGTAGCGTTGGCACCAGGGCAGAGTACCGCTGGTCTCTGCCCACCCAGCAACCCACCGATCCAGAGTGCTAGTACCCCCCAGAGCCGAGGTGGAGCTCCTGGACCTGGACAAGCGACCCACTACTCCAGGTGTAGTAACCAATTTCCGTGGGTGGGTTATACTGCGGATTCTGTTTTGTGGGTGGGTTGCTGGACTAACCAAGGCACTGACGGACAGGAGGCCAGATACCTTGTTAGTCTTTTTGGGAAAGGGGAGAAATGTGGCGAAACCAACCTCGCCACTGGGCATTGGAGAAGCCTGTTTGCCCGCCTCCTGCCTGCTGACTATGGCCCTGCATTAAAAACCTTTTATTTTACCTATGTGAGCAGTGTTACCCCAGATAGCTAAGCCATGGAGCCCATTTGTATACCAAAAGACTAAGGGAAAGACTTTGGCTCCATGGCGATTGAACTGTATGCATGTTATCTGAGCGCCGTCCGGAAATAATGTGCGCTCAGATCTAAGCTATCTGGGGATAGGTAAAATGTGTATGTTCTATGTGATGAATGTAACATTATGTAATTTTATGCCTTTTACTGTCTTTTTACTGCCATGTGGTTAGTGGAGTTTTGCCTCTGTCCTTGGAGATAATTGGATTACTTCCCAATTATCTCAAGGATAGAAGACTCTGTGGAACTGGTTTTGGGCAGAAGAGCCATGCTTCATTTGGTCACAAAGGACTTCGATCTATCTTTTGAACCAATGGACCAATTTGGATGATTTTGACATATGTTTGTATTTGGAGTATGCTGATTCTGAAAATGCATACTTTCAAAGTTATGAATAATGTGGAAAAACTGTATTCCTCTGCCTGTGATAATTATATTACCCATTGTGTTCAGTAATCATATCACAGGCAAAGGGGAGGATTTTGTGTGGGAGTGTCTGTGTGAATTGTACGGATTGATTGGTTTTTCTGTAAAACCCTGTGGGCAGTACTATGTTTGTGGATTGGGAATAAAAGAGGCTGTATGTGCCAGTACAGTCAGTTCTGCTTGACCTCAAAACGAAGTGTCGTCTCGTTATTGGGGGAATTGGATTGTATGCTGATTGCCAGGAGTGTAAGCTAATTGTATGCTTTTCCTGTTCAGCTGCTTACAGCATTCATATGCTTGAGAGCATTTGTATGCTTCTCCGGTTCGGTGGTTGTGGTGTCTGCTGCAGTGCTTGGAGTCCTCAGGAAGCGCTAGGAGCATCCTTCAATGGAGGTACCCAGTCGGGGTGCCAGGTGATCCGTTACACACACTCCAACCTTTCCAAAGTTACTCCAGCCACTCCAACCACACAACAGTTACTCAAGCCACTCCACTCAGTTACTCCGCCCACTCCAGTGTGTGTGTTTGTAGAGTACTGGTGGAGGCAAGAACACTTCACACAATTTCCCCAGAAATTTTAGCTTTTCTAGTTATAATTGTAATGTTGTATTTAATTTTTAGCAACACCTGTATTACACTCCACCATAAAGAAAATATATAAACTTCAAGTTGTCATGTGTAAATATTATACACTGAGCAAAATTATAAATGCAACACTTTTGTTTTTGCCCCCATTTTTCATGAGCTAAACTCAAAGATCTAAGACTTTTTCTGTGTACACAAAAGGCTTAGTTCTCTCAAATATTTTTCACAAATTTGTCTAAATCTTTGTTAGTGAGCACTTCTCCTTTGCCGAGATAATCCATCCAACTCACAGGTGTAGCATATTAAGATGCTGATTAGACAGCATGATTATTGGAAAGGTGTGCCATAGGTTGGCCACAATAAAAGACCACTGTAAAATATGCAGTTTTCTCACACAACACAATGCCACAGATGTCGCAAGTTTTAAGGGAGCATACAATTGGCATACTGACTGCAGGAATGTCCACACAAGCTTTTGCCCATGAATTGAATGTTCATTTCTCTACCATAGGCCATCTCCAAAGGCGTTTCAGAGAATTTGGCAGTACATCCAACCTGCCTCACAACCGCAGACCATGTGACCACCTCATGTTGCAGCATAATAATGCATAGCCCCATGTTGCAAGGATCTGTACACAATTCCTGGAAGCTGAAAACATCCCAGTTCTGGCCTGGCCAGCATACTCACCAGACATGTCACCCATTGAGCATGTTTTTGATGCTCTGGATCGGCGTATACGACAGCGTGTTCCAGGTCGTGCCAATATCCAGCAACTTTGCACAGCCATTGAAGAGAAATGGACCAACATTCCACAGGCCACAATCAACAACCTGATCAACTCTATGCGAAGGAGATGTGTTGCACTGTGTGAGGCAAATGGTGGTCACACCAGATACTGACTGTTTTCGGACCCCCAATACAGTAAAACTGCACATTTTAGAGTGGCCTTTTATTGTGGCCAGCCTAAGGCACACCTATGCAATAATCATGCTGACTAATCAGCATCTTGAATTGCCACACCTGTGAGGTGAATGGATTATCTCTGCAAAGGAGAAGTGCTCACTAACACAGATTTAGACAGATTTTGTGAACAATATTTGAGAGAAATAGGCCTTTTGTGCACATAGAAAAAAGTCTTAGATCTTTGAGTGCAGTTCACAAAAAAATGGGGGCAAAAACATTAGTATGGCATTTATATTTTTGTTCAGTGTATATGTAACCAATATTACTATTGAATAATCGTCTACCAATTTACTTAAACAATATCAGTTCCCATGGTGACATTTCTTCTGAAATCACCAA